TATTCTCATTTTTCTTAAGATAATAATATTCTGAATGGGAGATACAAAACATTTTGTTTATATTGCATTTAGAATACCCTAAACTCTTAACACTATTGCTTTTTATATTTACTATATTCGATAAATAAATAATTAATTATATTTACTATATTCTAGAATTTATTTAAAATATTCTGTTTATTTTTTTCAAATTTATTAATCACATACTAAGTTGAACTGAATTAAAATTTAAAATTAAATAATACTGAAAAAAATATAAATTTCTGACGTAATTATTCTTCCTAATCCCTTATTTTTCCCGAAAAATTTTTAATTACATTCAAATTAATTATTAGTTCATGAAAATTGGGCTAATTAGGTCAGAAGACTACGTTCGAATGAATCCACAGATAACTTTTTACAAATTTATTGCATCCGTACGAACTTTTATTTGGTCTGGTCACCTGACGTAGCTCTACATTCGGACGCCACTAAAATAGTGCCACATGTTCTCACTATTTACCGCGCGGCCCGACAACCCCGAACCAGAACAGAGACATGATTGCTATGTTCGCGTGTTGCTAGGTATTGCTCGGTATTAGCTCTGCATTTGCTCGGTATTGGCCGAGTTTTCTCAACAATAACGAGAAATATCATTCTTTGAAGGCCAATACGTACCGAGCAATACCGAGAAACTCGGCATTGGTCTTCACAGAGCGATATTTTTCATTATTGCCAAGCAATACCTAGAGCAATACCGAGCAATACGCGAACATAGCAATCCCGGGTCAAGTCGTCGGGCCGCGCGGTATTGAGTAAGATCACGTGGCTACATATTATTGGCGTCCGAACATAGAGCTACGTCAAGTCACCTGACCTAATAATTGTTCCATCCGTACACCCCTTCTTGTTCGAGATTAAGACTTAAGAGAAGAAAATGCTGACCATTTAAAAAAAAATTAAGGAGCAACTTGCAACGAGCTCGTCACGTTAGTACTATTTTTAATATTAAAATTTATTCAAATAAAAATCAGGTTATAGTCCAATCTGCCGTCATCTTTTTTTTTTTCTTTCCTAAAAAAAAAAAAAGAGTGATTCGTTTGGTTTACTCCGTTCTACCGCCATCTTATTAAATAAAAATTAGCTCACTAGATCGTTGGTTTCTTACTGTTTTATTTTGCTTTATTTTTCTATGCTAGCCTCGTTTGACTAGCTTTTTGTTGTCTTTTTTAAAGAATTTCTTACGAAGAGATTTTTTTTATAATAAAATAGGCTAAAATATGACAATTATAAACTAAGTGACTTATGATATATTTAAAAGTCAAAATATTTAAAAAATTCGTAAAGATATTAAAAAATGATTTTTTCAACAATATTCTGCAATCATCTTTATTAAAAAATATAATTGTTTCAAATAGAATCTTAGATTTTATTTCATATAATTTTTCTTACTACTTTTTAGAACAAAAAATTTTAATTAAAAAAAAAGTATATTCTAAAAGAAATAAAAAAAGATACCTCAAATGAAGCCTTAATCAGAGATATATTTTCTCATTTATTTATTTGATTCTTTTATAGTCCTCATTTTATCTATTTATTGAGAAATACTGTCAAAACTTTAAAAATTAAATTGGAGATCATTCGAACACCAATTTCGACAAACTTATCATCAAATTGAACGTCTCGAAGATATAAAGCCAACAACATCAAATTCGATCTAATATGAGCCCCAATAGGCCCAAATCAAAGCACCAAAGCCTACTTAAACGCTTCAGAGCATTAATTGGATGATCAAATGATATATGAATATGGCATCTTATAATCAAATTGAGCGGCGACGAATCCAATGAAACCAAGATCACTCAATTATGACATCTCTAAGGTATTTTAAATTCTTGATAAATGCCTCATGCTTAAGTGGATCACTAGTAGTCATCTGATGGAATACTCACAACATACCCTTAATCTTCTCCATATTTACTAGTCATGCCGCTCCCAAAAAATTTTAAATAACATCTAATTTGGGAGGAAAAGGGGAGAAAGCTTGAGAGTTCTATCGCACTCTCCATCCAACTATACAACAAATTGAGTTCTTTCCGATCACTGATCACTGTTGGACTTCCGCTTGTTCTCCGACTATCGCTAGAACTATTCCCGTATGTTACCGACATCTCATCTCCTCCCAAACATTGTCATCCACTAACGACGGTCCTTCCGACCACCATCAACCGATCATGGTCCTTCCAATCTCCGTCACCGGCAGACTACGATCCTTCAAATCGTCGTCGCCCGCCAACTAAGATCACTTGAACCACCGTCACCCGACTATGATCCTTCCTACCACCATCGCCTGATTATGTTCCTTCAAATCACTGTCACCAGACTATAGTCCTTACAACCTTTGTCATTCGCCGACTACGTTGCCCTCCGAACTCCGTCGCCTGCCGACTATGGTCCCTCTGACCTCTGTCCCCCGTTAACTGCGGTCCCTTCGACCACCGCCACCTGTAAAATATAGCCCCCCCGACGTCCATCGCTTGCCGACTACAATCCCTTAGACCACTGTCGCCTGACAACAATCTTTCCAAACTACGATTCTTTTTTGCTATCATCATTTGATTATGACCGCCAACCAAATGAGCAGGAGAACATTTTCTTGAGAACAATTATCATGTCAATATTTCATTATATAATGTGCTATCCACAATGTATATTTATTTCATTGAGCTAATGCCGTCTTCTGAGGAGGGGCATTTTTTGTAATCAACAACCAAGTAGTGGATTCATTTCGACACCGAGCAAGCTAGATCCCATGATTTTCCCCCTTTAATTCATTCATTTTCATGCACAAATATCGATGTCTCTTATGGACACTGCACCATTCTCTTTTATATGTCTATGTTGTATTTCAGAATAAAACTAGGATGCTAAATTTTATATATCTCTATCACCGCAAATATTTCAAGACATAACAATAATACATGATAACATTTATTTTTCTCTTTTTTTTATTCTTTTCGGTTTTTCTAATATACTAAAGTTCCAACTTTTGGTCGGCAAAAATGATTTTTAATTGCAACATGAGACTCAACTACTGCCTGTGCTTATGAATATATTGCATCATGACTGAAATTCAAATCGCTGCTGGTTTTCTTCGGCTCTGGATGGTACCGTCGACATTAATTTTTTCTTCCCACTACGGCTGCAAGTTTCTGTATTCCACTTTTGATTCCTTTCACATTCGCTTTGATTTTTATTTTTATTCTTGCATTTTGTTAATAACCGGAATTAGCTGGGCTTTATTCCCCGAAAAAAGAAAAGAGGATAAGCAGTACCTCCTATACATTTTTTTAGAGGTTATTATAAAATTATTATGAAGAAAATAGTTCTTTTAAAAATAGTTATATTGATTTTTTTATAATTTTTTTAAATAATGAAAAATAGTGATAAAATAAAGTTATAATTATAATCGAGAAATTTAAAATTAAATAAAAAAAACTGTTCCAAATGACACCTGCTATACATTTCACTTTTTTACAGTTTGTTTAAACTATTAAATTTTTTAATAGATATAATGCGCTACATTTTAACAAAATTAAATAACAAGCCATTTTTTAAAAAATAAAAAAAAATACGAAGTTGGAGCAAAACCGGCAAAGTCCTACAAAGTGCAAAGTCTTGAAGGTTTTTCTTCTACTTCAATGGGCTAAAATCAAGGTCAAATTTGGCTTGGCTTTAGTTCCGGGCCTTCCAGCGACGGGATTTAGTTTGTTGTTCTTCCTCCTCAGTGCAAATTTCTGAGGTGAGAATATATTCCTTTTCGTCCTTATTTGAACTCAATTTGTTGTTTCTTGTAAATCCTAAACAGTAAAATGTGACTTTTAGTATGTCAATGAAAAAGCCAAAGACCAAAATAGCAAAACAAATATTCTAAAAAAGAAAGAAATCTATAGTGTATTTCACATGGGATTGGCTATTTTGCATTTTTTTCTCCTATCTGGAAATTGTGATAGCATTGGGCTGGTCTAATTCGATTCTTCCTTATTACATGCGGACGACGTATAATACGTCTGGACGTCAATTAAGAGCCGCCACGTCACCCAATACACATTGTATTGCTGCTGGACGCATTTGACGTCCGCACGTAATAATCTCTCTATATGTTGAACTTTTATTTGGTCCGGTGAACGTACGCTCCTCTACGTTCGGCCACCAATATTTTAGCGACACGTAGCATGAAGAAAAGTCGCCGATCCGACCCGCTCTTTTTTGGGTTCTAGCACGTGCGTTTTTTTAAATCCTTGACGAGCCGAACAACATCACATAACCTTTTAGATATATTTCAAATACCTAGCAAAATACCGAGTTGTACCTAGTTTTTTCTAGCAATACCGAGCAAATGCCTAGCAATACCGAGCAAATCCCTAGCAATACTGAGCAAATCCTGAGCAAATACTGAGTTATACCGAGTTTTTTCTAGCAATACCGAGCAAATACCTAGCAATACCGAGTAAATCCCTAGCAATACCGAGCAAATCCTGAGCAAATACCGAGTTGTACCGAGTTGTAGAAAAACTCGGTACAACTCGGTATTTGTATAATTTTGGTCTTCAAAGAGCGGTATTTCTCATTTTTGCAAAGCAATACCGAGCAAATACCGAGCAATACCGAGAAAATCGTGAACATAGCATTCCAGGGTTCCGCTCAGGGTCAAGTCGTCGGGCCGCGCGGTAAAGAGTAAGAGCACGTGGCGACATGTTATTGGCGTCGAACGTACATCTACGTCAGGTCAGAGGATGTAATAATTTTAGTATTAGGTTCGAAACATTTAATCATTGAGAATCTAATTTGAGTCATCCAAATTTAGGCCATTTGAGCTCGACACGCTTACACTCTTAATATTATATAAATATAAAATGTAACTATCAGATTCATAAAGTTATAAAAATTTTACATGGTGTAATTAAAAAAAAATAACTGATAACCAGATGAATTTCACACTTCAACTAAAAAAACACATATGGCCGGCAACTCTCCTGGTCTCAGAATAAATTTTTTTATCTCCCTCAAATTATGAGATAACAAATTAAATAACCTCAGATAATTATTTTAACACAGTCCGGTAACATCCAGGCGATGCCGCCATTTGTCGCCCTTCTCACCGCGGACCGAAAGTTGCTGATGAAATCTCCGCCGGCATTCGAATTTTCTCGCTCCAAGCCTTGGACTCCAGAAACAGCTGTGAAATCTTCCCCTGAACCCAACTCATCCCCGGCCTCTTCGCCGCGTCACCCTCCACGCACCGAAGCGCCACCACCATCATCTTCTCCGCCACTTCCAATGGAAACGAATCCTTCAACCTCCGATCCACCCACCGACGAACCCTCCCCAACCTCTCAACCACCGCCGTCACCGAATCCATAGCCGGCGATCCCTCCTCCTCCCATGCTGCCGCCCCAACTACCTCCCTCGCCGTCTCGATTAGAGAAACCCATTCATACCTCTTTTCTTTTTCGGCGCCTAATCTATACTTGACCGGCTCATCACCGGAAATCAACTCCAGGACCACAACCCCAAACGCAAACACATCCGATTTCCTCGTAACACTTCCCCCAGCAATCACCTCCGGCGCCAAATACCCCCTGGTCCCCTCAATCTTCACCGACCGGCTGTCCGTTCTCATCATCTTCTTGATTTTAATATCCCCAGCAAGGAAGGCTGCGCCGAAGTAGCAGATCTTGGCGTTGAATCCGCTCTCAGAGACGATGACTGCAGAGCTTTTGATGCGATTATGAACGAATCCGCCGCCACCGGCGTGGTGGTGGATGTAATCGAGACCCTGTGCGAGATCAGCGGCGACCTGCATTCGGGAGATCCAGGACGAGAGAGCGGTGAATGTAGGGTTTAGCGGGTTACGGAGGCAGGAGGAGAGAGAAGCTCCGGGGACGAAGTCGTAGACGAGGTGGATGTTGTCGGCGCATACAGAGGCACCGAGGATGCGAACAAGGCTGCGGTGGTGGCTCTTGCAGACGTCGGCGAGCCGGATTGAGAGGGCTTCGGGATCTCCGCGGAAGGGACGTCGGTAGACGAAGACATCGCAACCACGTAGGGAGCAGCGGTAAGAGGAAGAGGAGATGTGCTTGGCAACGGGATTGATAGTGGCGGCGGATATCTCGGCGTTAGAGTATAGAGTCGGGGTGTCGGAGAGGGAGGAACGGAGGCTGGCAAGGGAGGAGATGCTCCTTGAGGAAGAGGAGTTGGTGCGTCGGTCGCCGGCGATGGAAGTATTGGTGACGCTGAAGAATATCGTTGGGGAGGCACCGCCGGAGGTGGAGGATGGGGTGTGGACCGTTTGCTTATTGGACGGGATGGGGCGGGGCTGGGAAGCGTGGGCATCTCGGCGGGCTTTGCACATGGGAGCGCCAAGCGGTACTGGAAGGAAAAGAAATTGTTACAGGATATCTTTCTATTTATATTAAAATTTAATGTTATAAAATTACGTGACTTTAGTTTAAAAAAATATCATTTGACACAACTCTCTTTGGCCTATTGGTTGAGAGCTTAGGCTTCCAACTAAGAAATCCAAGGTTCGAGTCTATGTGTATGCGTTGTGTATGTGAATTTGTCTTAAATGGACTAAATGTCCCAAAAAAAAAAATCATTTGTTATAAATAATATAACAAAATAATAACAATTTTAAATATATGTAATTAAAAATAAATATCATATATAAAAAAAATTTCATAAGCATACAGGTACTTTTATAAATAAACTATGATGACAATCAATGATTTGGATGGTCAACACTCAACAACCCCTTCGGTTGATTGAGCTTAATTTATAACATTTCTTAAGTATGATTTTTTTATTATCATATACATATCTAAAGATTTTTTTCTTCTTTTGACTCTATTTTATGCCCCTCTTGTAATTTCGCGAGCATATAGCTCAACTATTTTCAAAGAATTGCTACTACCTCAAGTACAGTATGGGTCGATTTTGATTTAGGATCTTTTTGGAATGGCTGTAGTAGTGTCTTATAAAATTTATGATAAAATTGTTGTGATGAAAGCAATTTAGCTCTCCAATTGAAAGAAATATTTTTTAATATAAAAATTTCTAAAAAATTATGAGAAAACAACTAAAAAGTATTATCCAAATAAAATTATGATGATTTTTATTACTTTGTTATTTTAATTTGAGTTCAAATAATTTGCATAAAACAAAATAGGATTTTAATGATAGAATTCTAATAAAATTTTGATGGTTAAAAAATTACTTCATTTAAAATATAAGAGTTTCATACAAGCCTATTTGAGTATCTAAGAGAAACTCACCAGAACTTGTTAATTTTGATCGAAATTCATAAAATTAGTATGATTTGTAGTTTTAACTTATGAGAATTAATTAAATTAAATTCCCCAATTTGATTGAATTTTTGTATTATTTTACATCTTAAATTAAAAGAGAAGAAAATACCAAAATTACTTAATTTAATCCCATAATTTTGCTTAGCGTGTGAAAGCGTTGGTGATGGCGTCAAGTTGCATTTCCTTAGTTTTCCTTTAATTAGAAAATATATTATCTTCCATTTGAATTTGTCAAAGTAGCTCGTAGTCAATTTAGTAAATTAATGAAATTCCTTACGACTTCTTGGAAAGTCAACTCTGTTTTTTGTCGACCATCTGCCTACCCTGAATAGTCACGTTTGAGATTTATCCTTCAAAAACAACTATTTTACTGCTTCCTAAATTTTATTTTTAGTACAAAAATTTCTTAAAAGTATAAAAAACAATTATCTAACGCTGTTCGAAACGAAACCTTAATTCATAAATAGAAGTGGCATAATCAATGTATGAGAGATATAAAGTTTAATGTATTAATTACTTAAAAAAAAAGTTTAACGTCTTAACTTTGTACGAAAATCTAGCACACAAACAAATATAAGAGTAGGATGTAGCAATCATAAGTACACCAAAATTTTTACGTTAAAATCCTAAAATGGAAAAAAATCATTTGGTCTAACCCAACTTGAATGAATGATTGATTATAAATGATGTCCTTTTTCAGATGAGATAGGACTCAATATATCAAATACATATTGTAGAGAGCATATTACAACATGGCAACTAGTCTTAATAGATTGTTGTTTTTTTTAATTGTTTAGTCAATAGGGTTGTAGTGAGCAGACTGCGGAGATTAGAATGACCGTAGTCGGCATACGATGATAGTTCGAGATATTGTAGTTGACAGTCAAAGGTGGTCATCATGGGCATAGTCAATGGGCGATGATGGTCGGAGGGACCGTAGTTGGCAATCGATGGTGGTCTGAGGGGCCGAAGTAAATGGGTGACGGTGGTCGGATTTGACTATAAGCATGTCATATTTTGATATTATTTGATCATCCAATTAATGCTCTAAAGATTTCAAGTAGGCTTTGATCATTTGATTTGGGCTTATTTGGCCTCAAATTTGGACTGAGTTTGGTGTCGTTGAGTTCATCTCCTTAAGATGTTTCATTCGACTAGAAGCTTGCTAAAATAGGAGCTTGGATGATCCTGAATTTAATTTTGGAAGTTTATGATTCATATTTACATCGAGATTCGTGCCCGATCAAAGCTAATTTTGATGACGTATCAATTGCCCGCCCTATTTTCGGACATCTAAACATGTGGATTCCGAAACTATGTATTTGATCCTTTCAAGCTGCTTGTGATTGAAAATTACAATTACGAGGAGTGGCGAACTTTTATTTGGTCCGGTGTAAGGATGCAGAGGAACATCCGGTCGTAGGAAAAACTCGGTACACCTCGGTATAGGCGGGATTTTGCCTACGACCGGATGTTCCTCTGCATCCGATCGGAGGACGTAATAATTGTTCAAGAGTGTGCACCTTCTTGACTTATAGAGGGATAGAGAATCATTGTGACGGTTGTAAAATTTTATTTATAATTGGTCAGAGAGACCATAGATATGTAAACAATATTTATATTCGAATATTTAATGTGTATTTACGAGCCTAATACAATTATTTTCTGGTCAATTAATTTTGGAATACATTCGTCCATATTATATCAAAATATTCTTTATACTTATCAATAATTAATAAAAGATGTTTTTACTAGAATTTTATGGAATGACAAAATTAATCGCTATTATCAAATGTGTATAAATAGTATGTGTTTAAACCGCTGTAATAGGTCCTAAAAAGTGCGGCAAAAACTTGATTTATTAGTAGTGCTAGGATATTGTTTACTTTTTTTTTGGGAAATTTACATACATACCACTTTATAACATCTTATTTACATATCTAACATCTAAAACTTTAATATTACATGCATACCACCTGTAATATTAAAGTTTTAGATGTTAAATATCTAAATAGAATAGTATTAAATGGTATGTATGTAAATCTCCCTTTTTTTTATTTTTTTATTTAGGATATTGTTTACTACGGTCAATGTAAGATTATATGATAAATACAATGTATTAGAGAATCATGTTCTCCAATAAATATTATATAATAAATTTATCAGTCATAACTGTCACCAAATTATCATTACAATATATAATAGTTGGAATAAATTTAAAAAACAGTATCACATTAATATGGTTAATACTGTTTCAATGTTTTTTTTTTTTTAATACTGTTTCAATATATAGATTAATAAGTAATATATTTTTTATCATATTAAACTACGGGAATATAAAGTGATGACTGCTATAAAAGAGTATATATTATAATTTAAACTATAATATCTGGCGAATTATAAGTTAATCAGGCTTGATATGATATACAATTATGAATTATCACTTATTAAATGATTTTTTAATAAAAATAATTTTGAAAAAAATCATTAAAACTGTTTTAAAAAATTATTAAAAAATTTCTAAAAGTTTATAAAATGTTCAGAAAATTCATAGAAAATTTTGAAAAAAAAAACTTTTTATCTTCTCTATTGCCTCCTCGATTTGAATAAAATATTAATTTTTCTATTATTAATATATAAATTGATTTGTTGCCTTTTAAAATTTTCAAAAAATTATTAAAAATTTTCTAAAATTTAATAATAAAAAATTCTTTTCATCTCTCCTCTTCCTTGCATCTATAAATAGCACCTTGGGGTAAGGGGAAAAGCACAATATTTTGTGTCGGTCCAAGCCCTCTCTTTGGATTAGTGGCTCGGGGATTGTGAGCAGCGAACAAAACCTTCTTCTCTTGTGCCGGCCTTAACATTCATGTGGATTGATAGCTTGAGGAGCGTAGGTGGTGATGAAAGCGAATGTTGGTGGTGATCAAAGTCTAGTTCTCTTGTATTGGTCCAAATTTTTTCTTGGATTGGTATCTTGGATAATGTTGGTGGTGATCAAAGCATTGATCCAAATTTTTCCTTAGATTAATAGCTTGGAGAATGTTGGTAGTGATCAAAGCCGGGTTCTCTTGTGTTGGTCCAAATTTTTCCTTAGATTGATAACTAAGAGAATATGGTAGCAATGAAAGCCCAATTTTCTTACAAAAGTTAGAAACGACCTAAGGGTGGCCTCTCTCAAGAAGAGATTTGACAGCAGCAATGCCTGGGTCCCGGGACGATCAGACCAAAATTCGATCGTCCCGATCGCCGTGGACAATTCCCAGAACTATTCTCAGGCCGATATTTTCTACAGTGCCGATCGGCCTGGACGATGTCCAAATCGGCCTAGACGATATGTACAAAAACCACCTGAAGCAAAACTGGGCAAAATCTGGAGCAAAACTTACAACTGATCGTCCCAGGACGATCCAGATCGTCCTGGACGATCCTGGAGCAGATTTTGATATTACAAATGCCTGGAAGAAAATTCGGCGATAACCAACAAATAGGCAAAATTCCATTAATGACCGAAGACAATCAATGAACATGCATAATCCTGACAATGGTTTACATTTGGAAAGAGATCCGACAATCATAAGTTGATCCTTTGACGCAGGAAGTCAGACAGTATTTTGATGAAATCATAATGAAGGTGGTTAGATGACATTTCGATCTTGGCAATCAGGTGGTGAGCTGATGGCAATTTTCAAGCTATATTTTGTTGGAAATAGTAGGTATGCATGCTAACGGGGGCAGATAGTCGATAACATGATGGAGAGAATTGAATATTATATTGACTTCAACAATCTTGCAGCATATTCGTCATGGTGTCAATTAAGTGGAGGTTTGATGGTGGTTTGTAATAAGCTTTATAATGTGTTGATTATTGCTCCATAGAGGTCCGATATGGGACGTGCATGATCCTCCATTGCAGGAGAGAATAGTGCCTTTCAGGATAGAGATCATATCATTGAATGATATAGAAGAGTTCAAGGAGTCCTTGACTTGTCATCAAGAAATCCACAATCATATCCAAGTGGTTCATGATAAGTTGTCTGATTGTCCAAAGCATTGATGAAGGCTTTGCTTACAGCTTCTTAAAAGGAAATCGATGGGAAGTTCGTAAAATTGGACTTGTAATTGAATGGCTAACTCTAGGGGTGTCAATTCGGTTTGATGGGTCGGGTTCGGGTTGAACCCGAGTTGACTCGGATCTAAACGGGTCAACCTGAACCCGACCCAATTTAGCAAACATGTTAGATATTTCAATCCGTACCCGACCCGTGCGGGTTACCAGGTCATCTCTCAATATCAATATCAATATCTTAGAAATTTTTATATGAAATTGATGTTTACTTAAAGTAATGAATACTTATATATGAACTCATTTCAAATTTCTTTATGCATTGCTTAGATAAGTTTTGATTTATTACTCTCGAGTTAGAATAGTTATAATAGAGGAATTTATTCAGCATTTATTATTCTGATAAATGTAATTCTTCTGAGGCTTTTTAGCCTTCCAAGTTTTTTAGTGTACCAGTGTCTTTTGAGGCTCTTAGCCTTCTAAGATTTTTGATATATCTATACTTTTTTAGGTTTTTAATACATGCTTTTTGAGGCTCTTAGCTTTCGATTGTCTTTGATTGAGGGGTGACTCTGTCAACCACTTACTCTCATGTAGTCTTTTTAGTGAGAATCTTATCCACTGATAGCTTTCCTTTGAGGCTACCTCATGGGCAGACATTCCTAGGGTTATTTGATAGAGTGTTACTCATTTGCATTAAAAATGCTAACAAAATTCATAAGGAATGTTTGACCTATTCGAGGTTGTTTAATATAACATTTTCTGATGACATTAACTTGTATGGAAGCGGCCGAGAGAATCCACTAAAGATATTTGACTTATCTAAGATTATTTATCATAGTGTTACTCAATGACGTTAACTTGTATGAAGAAGTTGAATAGAATCCCCTTGGGATTGACGTAATTTGATTGATAGGGGGTGAATTCCGTATATATCTCGAATCAAACGTGACAATAAATATTTCTTTAGAATGTTATTGCCTTTTTGAGATCGAAATTAAGACATTGCTCAAAGAATAAAGGTCCAGTTGGAAACTGCATATGCCTTAAAAATTTTCTTGAAACATTCTTACATTTATTGAAAGCTTTATGAAAATTGATTGTCAATGACATTATCTTGGACATTGAAAATATTAGAAAAAAAAAACTTTTTTTTTGCCTCTTCGCATTGGAAGTTACAAGCAAGCCCCAGCCACCCCCTCCCCCCCCCCCCCCTTAGTTCAAATTTGCTTTCACAAAATTGATACAACATTAGTTGATAGTTGAGGGGCGATAGAAAATTGCATAAGTTTGCACCATAACTACGAATCATTTCTCACAGATGACGTTAAATTGTTGCGTCTAGGAATATTTGTGACAGTTGAGAGATATAAAGTTTAACGTCTTAACTTTGTATGAAGATCCAACACACAGACACATACAAGAAAAGGGTCTTGCATTCATAAGAGACACCAAGATTTTTATGTGAAAAACTCTAAAAAGGAAAAAAAAAAAAAAACAATGGGGCTTGGCCTAGTTTGAATGAATCCAGCAGTATATGATTGATTACAAATGATGTCCCTCCTCAGAGAAGGGCATTGGCTCAATATATAAAATACATCTTGCATGGAGCATACTATAACATGGCAGTTGTTCTTAAGAGAGTATTGACATTTTTGTTAGTTTAGTCAGTAGGGTTGTAGTCGGCGAGCTACAGAGCTTGGAAGGACCGTAGTCCGCAGGCGATGATGTTCTGAGAGACCGTGGTTGGAAAGCGAAGCTAGTCGTAGTTGCTATAGTTAACTAGTGATAGTGGTCAAAGGGACCGTAGTCGGCAGACGATGGTGGTTTGAGGAACTGTAAATGGCGGGCGATGATGATCCGAGGAATTATAGTCAATGGGCAATGGTGGTTGGAGGGATCGTAGTCAATGGGAGACGGTGGTCTAAGGGACTGTATTCAACAAGCAATGATGGTCCGAGGGACCATAATTGGCTAGCAACGGTGGTTGGAGAGATTGTAGTCGCTGGGTGACGGATGTCGGCAAGAACTCCAATGGTGGCAGCAATAGATGGAGAGTGTAAGAGAGCTCTTAAGCTTGCTCATTTCCTCCTCCCCCTTATGAGAAGAATGATGGGTTGTTCATAATTTTTTGGTAGTGACATGAATAGTAAATATAGAGAATCAAAGGTAGGTTGGGAGTGTTTCATCGAACGATTGATATTAGTTCTTGATCATAGAGCATTTATTAATCATTTGAGTGCTTTAATGATATCAGAATTGAGTTATCTTGGGCTTGTTGGACCTGTCTCATCAAGACGCTCGATTCGACTATAAGCATGTTATATTTAAATATCATTTGACCATCCAATTAATGCTCTAAACCTTTCAAGTTGACTTTGATCCTTTGATTTGAGCTCATTTGGGCTCAGATTGTATTGATTTAGGTGTCGTTGAGTTCATCACCTTGAGATGTTTCATTTGACTTTAAGCTTATTGAAATTAGTGCTTAGATGATCTTGAATTTAATTTTAGAATAATTCATATTTGCATCAAGATTTGCGCCTGATGAAGCCGATTTTTTGTGACGTATCAAGGTTGATGATGATGACCCTCGTCGATTGGAATTTTTATTTGGTGCGGACTCCGAACGTAGTTATACGTCCAGAATCCAGTAAAATTGCAGCACATGTATCCCGATGACCCCACTACACGACTCGATGAAAAATTAAAAATTAGCGTGTTCTTTCCAACATCCGGTGAGGCTCGACGTATACGCGAAAATTGAAAAAAAAAAAAAAACCAGCAATATCTAGGTTTTTTATGATTGTAAACAATTTTACTCATTTGAGATAGATTTTCTACTCGGAAGAAAACTGAGAAAGAGAAGAGAGATGTATTCGGAGAGCCAAATAAAAATTACACGTGGCCCGATTTTAATTTACTGGCTTCCGAACTTAACGTCCCAGAGTCCGCACCGAATAAAAAGGCCTAAAAATTCGGGCCATCGAGCTCCTGCCGATCACAAGCGAGGAGCAGTTCGATCGGATCCTGGCGGAGGCCAAGCAGCATGAGGTATCGTTGATCGTCCTCTGGTTTTCTTCAAAACCCCACTCTTTTGATTTTTTACTCAATTTCTGTAGAGTGAAAATGGCATTTGCGTAAGCTGCTTAGGGCTTGCTCATTTGTTTGCTTGTGCGTATAAAACATGTATGATTTCGGTTTCGGAGGATATTTTTTGGAGTTAACATATAATATTGATTTTTAGGGTTTAGGTAAAATGATAGATTCTGCTAAATTTATCTCTTTTCAAAAGATTATTTTGTAATTTCAAAAGAGAGCTTGTAGTTCTATGCCAATCTTCATTTCATCCTTCTATGCTGCCAATGAGTTGGTTGGTCCTTAACTCCTTTTACACCATTGGTATCATCAATGTCAACTATTTGTTATCTATATTAGTTAATGAAATATGAATCATCCATTCCATCCACAAATATTAAAAGAGCAGGTGCCAAATACTCACTAATCTTGATTTTTCTTTAGAGAAAGATCCTTAAGGAGTTCTCTATAATTCATTGCTACTCTCATCTTAGGTCAATAATTAGCAGCTTAGTCTTGAAGGAGCACTTTGTATATCCATCCACAAATGGTCAAACAAAACAAAAAATCGAACAAGAAGGAAGCTTATACATATCAGCAAATTACAACTGAAACTAAAATATAAACTATTTTTTGTCTATGATGGAAGCATAACGCTTTAAACGAAATTATTCTATGCGGATACGGACATTATCTGGAGGCGAATCAGAATAGACCACGTTACTTTTTTTATGTGTACCATGGTAGTGTACCGGGTGACGTGGCATGTTCTTATTCGTCACAGGATGATTAGGTGTCCGCACAGAATAATTTTTCGTATATGGATAGGGCTATTGCATAATAACTGCAGTTAAGCATGTTAGTTCTTCTCATTTAAACTCAGTTAATAAATAAATGAGTACTAATTTTACATTATTTGAACGAAGAAGCTCATTTACAAAAATACAATCATGCTGTTTAGGCATTCCTAATTGTTGAACTTTGCTGTATCTGACTATCCAGACAAGAATTCTACAAGCATTTTCCCTACACGAATAATTCTAAAGCATAAGCTTTCAGACATTTAATTCCTTGAGACAGTGACCATACAAAAAAAGGCAATGCAGCGAGAAAGCATGCCATATAAAATGAGAACAATTATACAAAGGGCCCAATCATTGATATCATAATCACTTTGCATCATAGAACCACACCTAGTTATCAGCCATACTCCAGAATACCTGTAACATAGAAGGGGGTCATAATTTATAAATAGAAACATAGAAAACATAGAAAATAAACCAAATTTCAAAATAAGATGGGAATGGTTATGTAATAATTTATGTGCATGTTAGGAATAATATATATTTGTTGACCTTCCTCTATGATTCTCCTAGAACTTAGGGCTCCTTACCGTATGTAGAAGTCACATCTAGGATTTTCCTTCGGTGTACACCGGATGACACAATATCGACTCAACCTCGTTCGTATTGATTTGATCTCAATTGAATAGGTTTACACCAAATTGAATTTAATTAATTCGACTTCAAATTAACGAAGGCCAACTCAATCTAAATTATGTTAATTCATGTCATGTCAAGTTAGTTCAATTCAATGTAGGGTCCGTTCGACTCAACTCGTGTTTATTCGACCTCGACGCCATCGTCGACCCATTAAATTGAATCGAGCCCAACCAAAATTAATCAGAATTAATTTAAGTTTAATAAAATAAGTTCAATTAGGCGACGTCGAGTCGATTCGACTCGACGAGAATATAATAATTTTAATCCACCCAATTTATTGTGTTTAGACTCGATATAAAACAAATTAAATTAACTCAAATGGACTCTGTTAAATGAGCCCAAATCTAAATCTAAACGAAGTTTGGTTGATTAATTCAATTTTAGTTAGCCAATTAAATCCTCTTAATTTAGCAACTCAAATTTGAGCCCTTTGATTTGGATCTAGAGGAAGGGGTGAGATAGTATTTTTTTTTTTTCTTCCTTAATAGGTATTAGGGCATAAGGGGGGGTGAGGGGCTGATCCATGTTCGCAACCGATCTCTCCTCCTCCTCAGCTCTTCTTCTTGTTCTCTCTTACGCACAAAATTGCCTTCAGGTTGTAAGTTATTTTTATTTCTATTTTATATATTTTCTATTCTATTCCATGAAGAGATAATTTCTTCTCAAATATAAGATCTTCATCCCCATATGAAGATGTATTGTGGCACTTTTCTTTCCTCAACTTTATATGAATTATAATAATGAGTACATGTATATGGTTGATACAAAGAAGTAATGAATTATATATTCTTAGATATATTTCCTACCATTCTTTTTCTTTAAAATCCCTATACTTTCTTGGATTGATTTTGAAATGGGTTTCTCGCTTTTTTTGTGTAAAAATCTCTATAAGTTTTGGATAGATTCCTTGTTGTTTCTATGCAATAATCCTTACAGCTTTTGTATAATTTCCTTACTGATTTAGTGAGAAGTTGATGCAGATTTTGAATGGGTGGGTTTCTCCCTGTTTTTTGTGTAAAAATCCTTGCAGCTTTTGGATATTTTTCTCACTATTTTTTTATGAAAAATTGATACCGATTTTCATCAAATAATTCATCTATTTTTTAAGTATTTCCTTACTATTTTTGAAGCAAAATGGCTAATGAGGATGATGATGATGGTTTACCAACTTAGAACCAATATAATGCATTAAAGGTGCGAAAGAAGATGAAATTAATCAAACCTTTCAGCATTGACAACAACAAATGCTTCCAATGCCCACTTTGTGTAGCATATGTTAGCCAGGAATTTTGAAGTTGTCTCCTCAGTTGCTATTAGCGTTAAAACAACCGGCATAAGTGCAGACCACTGCATGAACAAAAGATTGTTAACAGGATTGGAATAATAGCTAGTGAATCTCAAGGTTAATAATCTAAAAAATATTTAAATGAGAAAGAATTGAATTTCAAGAGAGTTGATCTCACCAACTGGGCTGTTCCTGGCTGGAAGAAGATGGCAAAGAAGTAACCAATACCAGTTACACAGTAAACAAGAGCAACCAGTATGATGTAATTATCTACAAATGAGGACCTAGGATTGTTGAAAAAATAGAACATTGACAGATAAACTATTGGTTTGATGATTGTATTGAAATGATCAATGGTGTCCCTTGCAAGGAAATAAGCAAGTGAGCTCATGCCAGAAGTCCTTTCCCTCCAGTAATGCAACTTCTCAAGTGAAAATGATCTGAGAGCTCCAATCTTACATAATAGAGCTGTAAAACAACACATTTCAATTAACATAACATCTTATTACAAATTAACTTGTTAGAAGAATTACGTTATCAGGAGATACAACTATGAGGTTGCTAGAATTTTTTCAACATAACATCCTCATTAAGGAATCTAGATGATATAAAACAACTACCAAAGATAGCCATAGATGTTTAAAGAAAGAAAATGCATCTGAAATGTAAGCCTGTCATTTCTTGGATGTCTATTTTTAAGAAAACCTTAACTATATAAACTGGAAATATCAGCTTTGGAAGCATATTTGGAATTGAATGAACTAATTTAGGCTAGAAAAAGAATTAAGGGCTAGACTTCAAAAAATAAAATGGGTGACCCAGTAAAAGGAGGAATTTCATCGAGGAATAAAAAACAACACAGAAATGTTAAAATAAAATGTTACATAGAAACGGCCAAAAATAGATCCAAATAATTTGATAATATTCATTAAAATCTATGACCATTTCAGTTTCAATTTTGAACTAGATAACATTTCTAACATTTATCTAATCTTTCTTTTCCATCAACACAAGAGACACGTAAAATAATTTGAATAAAGGCAATAATGATTCTATCTTGTCATGTGCCGTACAAAATAAAAAGTAGAACTATGAAAAAAAGACATGAAAAAACAGAACTTCTTTGCTTTGCTATTATTTTCATGATTTCCAGATAAAAATACACTGTATTTTCTTGTTTTTTATTCCATGTGTTCCCCATCAAGCAGATTCATGATCTTAGGAGCACATATTAACCATCAGGTGCCTATGATATATCATATAGTGAATGGTATTCAAAAGAAACTTACAAACAGCTATAACTGTGTATGTGTAACCCAACGAGCCAAATGTTTCATCACTCATTTTTGCAAGCGTCCCTAGGCAGACTCCAGCAAGACACAGAATAAGAAAATCCACTCCTTGTATTCTGGCTTCACGAAGACGTTGTTTACCTACCCTGAAAATGATAAGGATTATACTCAATATTTGATCATATATTAATAAGTTATGTAAATTAACTTCCTAGAGTTAAATGGTGAGTAAGGGCATCTCCAATCGAACTCCAAACACATAAATGGCATCGCTCGTGAGCTCCAGCCGAACGGCAAAACTTCCGGTATTTGGTTGCGGGTGAACAGCGCGATGCCAATATTGGCGTTGCACCGTTCACCTGCGTTATTTTTCTGTCTCTGCCGAATTTGCCGAAGAAATGAGCGAAAGAGGAGAAAGAAGGTTACGTCGTGCGAAAGGGGGCAAAATGGAGTTCCATTGGAGATGAATCACGTCATTTTTTTAACTTCACTGCATTTTGCAGTGAAAAATGAGATTTTCGGTTGGAGATGCCCTAGGCTCATACCTTCCCAAGAAATACTTGTATTGCGTCATAACACCAGGAGTGCTCCGATTTGATAAATCTATAGAATGTAAAAAGTGGTACTTAAAATCATCTTTTCGCTGCCCTAAAATATCCTTGACATGGTTCCATACTTCTCCTGCAATAGATGGTGTTTCGACCTTAACAGTAGTATTTTCACTATCCCTGCTAGATACATCTCCAGTAGCATCATCATTAAGCATATCACGAGGCACATCATATTTATTATGTAACATCCATCGAAGAGGAAGTTGCTTGCAAGTTATTCCTGAAGTTGTGTTTGGTTTAATTATGCCCTCTAAAATGTCAATATAATAGTCTGGAGGATTAACACGTTCAGGAACATTGATACCCAGGCCTGAAAAGTATTCTTCAACCTTCTTCACAGATCCATGATACACTGTTATACCTCCTTTTGCTAGAAGTATCAAATCATCAAACATCCTGTACAGGGTATAACTGAAAAAAAAAACTTTTATTAGTTCTTATGTAAACATAAATTATCCTTGATGATTGATAGAAATGCATTATTCTTGTATGAAAAGCTTCCATTAATTGACATGTCATCAGTTATAAACTAATAAAAAGCACTTGCCCACTGAATGGACCATATAATTCAATACGAGAAAAGAATTGAATTGATCCCCTAACTTTTTTTAAGAATCAAAATAGCTCCTGACTATATTAAATTATCAATTTTAAGTAGAAACCAAATTAATCCTTCCATATGATCATTTAAATCCCTGTTTAAAAAGTCAAGAAATTAAAATGAGACTTTTAAATAATCGAAGAATATTTTGATCATTCATAAAGAATCAAAAAACCATTTTAAGTTCTTATATCTCAATTCAATACATGTTTCATTTAATGTTACTATTTACAATGATTTCTAGCAATTAGCATTAAAATTCTAGAAAAAAAAAGGTTCTTATATATATTTCAAATCTATATTAGTTAATTTGCAAGCTCATTTTCTAACAAGTAAACTTTTCCCAAAAAATGATATCTGACTAGGCATTTTTGTGACTAATGAAATTCAGAAAATACATGAATACTTGATTTAAGAAATCAGCATTATTATTGGATATAATCTTAAAATACCTAGGTTGGTGAACCACCATGCATATATTTACCCCTTCCAGTGCTTCGCGACGTAGGGCTTTAAGAAGTAAAGATGATGAAGCACTATCCAAACCAGAGGTTGGCTCATCTAAAATTAATAAAGAAGGTTCCATAACCATTTCAAGTCCAACATTAACTCGCTTTCTTTGCCCACCAGATATTCCACGCTTCTCAACAGTACCAACTAAGGATTCACGTATTGTCTGCAATCCTAAGGACTCGATAATTCTTTCAACAACAAGAACCTTGTCAGCCTTTGACAAGTCTGCTGAAAGTCTGAGACAAAATTAGAAGAAAAGTTTAATCAGTAACTTTATTCCTAAAAATGAATTTTAGGAATTGCTAAGCAGAGATAAAAATGTAAATATCAAAATAAATGAGTCGTGAATGTTGTAGAGGCAATATTACTGAAAATTTAAACAATTGAATATAAACAATGTAAATATATAGATCTGGACTTCTTTTTTTAGTAATTGTGATTGAAAGGAGACATCTTGATGAAAAGTAATGAAATGGATGCTCTTTTTTTTTTTTTTTCCCAAAGTTCAACAATATATAGAAATGAAACATTTGAGAGATATTCTGAAATAATTTCTCAAAAAGATTAGTATCATCATTCATATCATACCTGCATCTTGCGCTAAACCAAAGGTTCTCTTCCACTGTCAAGTTTCCATGAACAATGTCATCCTGTGGTACAAAACCTATAATCTTCTTATAAAACCGGATTGGTTCTACTTTTTCATTAATAAGAACCAGGCCTGTAATCTCGCACCCCGTTGTCTTTCCAGCCAAAGCAGTTAGGAATGTAGTCTTGCCTGCCCCAGAAGGACCCATCACTGCTGCCACACGGCCAGGAATGAGTTTGCCTGTCACACTTCTTAGAAGCTTTTTCTTACTCCCTCTCAAAGTTAGTGTTAGGTCCTTAAAAGCAATCTCAATTCTCGGCCTGGTTCTTAAATCCGTATCAGTAGCCATAGAAATAACTCCAGAGAATGTCAAGTTCTTATATTGTTGTTCCAGTGCCTTTTCTTTCTCAATTTGACCATAAGCATACTTGAAGATTTGGCTGCGAGTATGCATTTGTTTCCCTTTTGGCACATTTTTCTTTATGTTCTTATCTCCAATTTGTAGATTAAAACCTTGGTCACTTTCAGGATTCTCTTCTAGTGACTGAATAACTTTTGTAAGTTTACTAGATTCTTTTTTCTTAGGAGGAAGGCCTGCATTTTTAGAACTAGATGCGTCAGATGATTCATGAGATTGCCCCGAACCTTTAGACGTTTTGCGTGAGAATGTTCTTGATAGTTGTGCCTGAAGTCCCACAGCATGTTTCTTGGCAACATCTTTAGCTGATTTCCACCTTTCACGAGCTTGCACAGTTTCTCTAGCACTCCTTGCAGCAGCTTCTCTTGATTTAGCTTGCCTCCTCTCACGATTACTAAGGATTTGGCCAGAGAAGTTGTATATTATTAAGAGCAACAAACACAGAGCAACCTATAAAAAGAGCAGAAATTTTATGTTAAATTTTGGCTTCGCAAGAAATTACTTTTTCGTTGTAAATATGACAAGGAGAACTTCTTAATTGGCATGCTACATTTTAAACATTGAGTAATTTCAAAATATTGAAGAGAATTGCCAAATGCCACCTCGTCAAATCCTTCATTTTATTTTTGTTTCTTCCATTCCAAACCACCATTTTTTGCAAGAATTGTTTTCAACCTTATGTTTTGAAAAAGGAAATTTTGCTGTTGAGAATGATCAGTAATGCTGACAGATATCAAATTTAAATTTTGGAGTAACTAACCATAACTAGAGCTCCAAATATAGTAATATCTTGATTTGAGGAATTTGGCTTACAAGAACTTTGCTTAAAACACCCTGCATATTAAAGAAAAAATATTCAATAATTTCTGCTTCAACAACAAAATCTTTCAAATTCAATCTTCAGAGTACAAAACAAATAGAAAGCTCATGTAAAAATGTCTCGTCTTGGTTTTGTCAATAAATATATTGGACCAAAGCTCATCTTTTGCTCTTAAGGTTAAGTTAAAGCATTATTAGAACTATCAACTATTTATGAACAAAATTTGTCTTGGAAGCTAGATTATCTAACAATGGACTTTGTTGCTAATCCTGAAAATTAGTCCTCTTTCTTAGAAATGATCATAAAATAATCCATGAAAAAAAAAAATTATGAAACATCAGCTTAAACAGTGTGTCATTGTTACATTATCTGAATGAAATTTTGGGCCAAATATGATCATATTTTTTTCAGATGGTGTCACCTATGATGAATGTTCTCCATATACTTAATTTAGACAGGTAATAACCGAGGCTTATACATAATATTCACAGTTATTTACATGTGAGCGATATGACATCAAGTTGAAATTCGAATTGTAAATCAACTAAAACACTTACATATATTTCCATCATATTAGAATTTGCTAAAATTTGCCATAAAATAGTATTAAAAGTAGTGAGCGACTTATTTCAGGTATAGAATTTGTTAAATTTTATCATAAAATAGTATGAACTATAGTGAGCTTACTTGTTTCAGATGTAGAACCCTTCCTGCAGTAATGCCTGTAAAGTAACGACAAAAGAAACAATTACTGAACTGATAAATATATTAAAAAATAAGAAAGATAATTTGCAAAATCGCCATATGCAAAATTGTGCGAGTATGAATGATACATAAAGAAAATAATACAGCGTCAAATTTTGTACTATACAATAATGACCATTGGAGGATGTGATGGATTCAATACCCACTACTGCAAGAAATCTTCTGTATAGTGCTCGGACAATAGTATCCAGGTGGGCAAAACACTTGTCTAGTAGATAAAACATCAGCCCACATATCAGCACCACCACAAGTATGATTTGGTTGACCAGGAGGTAATTGGTAATTATATCTGCATCATTTCTAAAAATTACTCATATTTTGGCCAATAAAAATTTAATAGAAAAGACATAAGAAAGGTAAAAACACATTGAAGAAGTATGAAATAAGCTTACGGATCACAAACACCAGTGGTCTTATTAAGTTTAGCAAGTGGGCAGTAGGCACCCAAAGGACAAGCTTTGAAAAGAAAGCAAAAATTTAAAGTTAGACACATCTTTCAATATAAGGAAAAATTATTAGGTCCGGACACCTGACGCAGATATACGTTCGGACATCCACTTAAATTTGACACGTGGACTGTATTTTTGTTGCACTTTTTCTACAGTGTTTTGACTGCGTTTTACTTGTGCTTTGCCTGTGCTTTTGATGTTTTTGGTGCGTTTGGCTTAAAATTCGACGGACACATTTAATTTATAAAGTAAAAAATAAATTTAATTGAACATCCACGTGTACACTCCACGCCTCAGTATTTTATTAGAGTCCAGACGTATCTCTAAGTCCGATGTCCGAACCTAATAATTTTCCCAAGATAAGAGTGCATAGTAAAATAGATAAAGAAATACTCACGTATCATGCAAGTAATACCACGGGGGCAGAAGAAGCCTGGACAACAAGGATGACACTTATAAGTCCTTGCAGGCATTTGTTTGGAATCATTAAGCTTAACATTCTGATTTGGATTGATGTTGCATGCCCATCCTGGCTCACATCCAGGTACCCATGAAGTCAAGTTGCAATTTTTGTTTGGTTTAAGTATATTGATTTTTGCTGCGTTTTCTCCAGTGTTGTCATAAAAGCTATTGAAGTAAAATTTTATTTCTGCAGCATTACACAAGCGTGATGTGAGGTCCCCTGTTTATCCAGAAGTTCAAAAACAGAAAATTAGATCCTTAAAATTAGTGGTAAATTTAACGGAATATTTTGCAATTATATATGACAGAGTAACACATACATATAACATGTACATATTTTTTAAATTTTCAAATGAACTTTCGTTTACATTTTAGTATGATAAAAAAAATAAATATTTTTGTATTCTTCCATTCCATCATTATATGATATGAAATTTTGCAAAGTAATATAATTAGTTAATTTTGAATTGAAGATCAAGAAACGAAATTGACAATCTAGCTTGCCAAAATAAAAAAATAAGCAAATGCTCACCTTTCTGCTTGATGCAATTAACCAAGAATCTCAAATCCGCCGAAAAATTAAACGCCTCATTCCAATCTTTATCTCTGAAACCACCCCAAAAAAAAAAGAAAAAACAATATTTACTTAAACCGATGAGCCACAAAAGCATCATAACAAAAGGACGTCAGAGTGCATACGAATCCTTGATGCAATATTTGAGCTGGTTTCCAAACTCTTTAGTGAACGCTCCGGTAAGGCTCATTAGACGGTCATAGACAATGTTGGCGAAGAGCGGGACATCTGCTGAGTTTCCTCCGCCATCGTCGTCATCGCCATCGCTGTCGTCATAATCATCGTCGTCGTCCTGGCATTGCCCTAGCTTCCCGGCGGCGAGGAGGGCGACAAACAACAACAGGGCAGCTATAGCCCGTCGCCGGTGACGAACGCGGCACAAAGCGTGCATATCTCTCGGTAAGGTTCGTAAGCAACGAAATAAAGATCTATTAGTTTCAAGGAAAAATGATCTATGGCGGGGGGAAAGGAGTGATGCCGGACGGAAAAAAGAAAAATGTAGGGAGAAGTTGGGTGGTTTTGGACGGGAGGGAGGGAAATGCGGTGTTGTTTGGAGACTTGGGCTATAAATAGCAAACTAAAAAATATGTTGCAGGCAATGTGTGGCTCTCAACCAATTGCCATATTAGGAAAATGAGTTTTAAGGATCGATTATTATTATTATTTTTAATTTATATAATAATGGATAAATTTTTAAAGTGATTACCCTTATCGATTTAATTAGCTATTAAACCAATAAAAAATTTAGAACTAAGTAAAGCCGAATTTCTACCTAATCACAGGCCAACATCAGAATTCTGCTCAATTCTCCGGATTATTGTAATTTCACCGTCTCCAAGTTCAAAGAAAAATAAAGCTTTGTAATTTTTTCAAGTACTAATGAAATCATTTGAACTGGGTCAAGCTCCATATTTTTTTTCCTTTTCTTGGGTTTTCAAGTTAAAAAGTTCTTATGTTTTTTCTCTCACATTTATCTATTGGAGTGTTAGATATATATACGTATAATACTAAGACCCATTATTCTCTCACTCTGCTACCGCATATATTATAAGCCCAACAATGCTAATTTTAACAACAAAAAAAATCATTCCTCAAAATTTGGCCACTATTTAAGGAACAATTATTACGTCCTCTGACCGGAAGTAGAGCTACATTCGCCCGCCAATAAAATATCGCCACGTGCTCTTACTTTTTACCGCGCAGCCCGCCGACTTGACCCGGACCGGAACCCAAGAATGTTATGTTCGCGTATTGCAAGGTATTGCTCAGTATTGCTCGGCATTGCTAGGTATTGCTTGGCAATAACAAGAAATACCGCTCTGTGAAGACCAATACCGAGTAATACCGAGCAATACTCGATACAACACGGTATTGCTCGGTATTACTCGGTATTTGCTCGGTATTTGCTCGGTATTGGTTATTGCCGAGCAAAATCGACCAATACCGAGCAATACCGAGCAATACCTAGCAAAATCGAGAAATACTGAGCCATCCTGGTCCGTTTCGGGTTGGGTTGTCGGGGCGCGCGATAAATAGTGAGAACGCGTGGCACGATTCTACTAGCGGCCGAACGTAGAACTACGTCCTCTGATCGGCCCAAATAAAAGTTCCTATTTAAGGCCCCATTTCTATTAAGTTTTCCTCAAATCTATTATGGGACGGTTTTGACGCCGGAAGACTGAAATTTGTTTTCATCGGTGACGTTAGCAAGTGCTTTTTTTGTTCGACGACAAAACTTATTTAGCATTCTTTATAAATGATTGTTTCAATCGGTTATATTGCTATTAATTTTCTTGGCAAATAGGATATGTATTATGCATCCAAAATTTTGCTTTATTTATGCATAATAAATTAATCTAATTAAAAAAAAGTGGAAAAAACTCCAAAAAAGTAAGAAAATAATTTATAAATTAAATTTAAAATTGCTTGCCAAGTGGTGCTTTTGCCCACGTGGCTATTTTGATCCATTTAGCAAGAAATTTTTTTGTGAGGACATCATACAGTCTAGAGGCGAATCAGAAAGTGCCACGTCACCCGATACATAGCTGTCGTGCACAACAAATTAGTGACATGACGCATTCTGATGTACCTCTGGAAGGCATCCGTATCCGCACAAAATAATTTCACCTATTTATCATAGTTAACTTTTTTTTTCTTTTTTATTTTTTTTTTTCAAATTTAAAATTTAAAGTACTCTGTTTTTACAATTTCTCCAACTTTTTTTTGCTTCCATGAAAAGTATAGAAGTCATCTGAGGTCGTGAGGAGCATTCGAAAGTAGTCGCAATGGCCAAACTGATGAATTGGAACTGAAAATAGATTTCATATCATCAGCTATTAACGAAAGGTGCGTAAGGTTGATTTGTTATATTTATAGTCACACACGAACGATTCAAAGATGTCGTTGTAGTATAGTGGTGAGTATTCCCGCCTGTCACGCGGGTGACCCGGGTTCGATCCCCGGCAACGGCGACGAATTTTTTTATCAGATGATTAATTTTCTCTAAGGTTCTAAGCAATTCTACAACTACCTAATAAATTAGCATAATTTTATTATAAATATAAATAAATTAATTTAAAAGAGTAAATAATTTTTTAAAATAAATGTGTGCAAATAAAAAGAAAATAAATCTTGAAATTTAGTTATGAAATTAAACATATTTATACCATTCAAGATCGAAAATTTTTGTTTTAAAAACTTTTAGTAAATAGAAACTATTTCAATTTAATTTTGTATCCATTTTTTATTTCTTTCATTTTGTCCTTTTCAATTCCTTCTTTTATCTTATATAATCTTTTTTAATGTATTAAAATTTTTTAGCATTTACCCTTTTATTAAATATTAAGAAATGAAAAATATATCCTCCTGATTAATATATATATATATATATTATGAAAAAGAAATTATTTTTCAATTCGAGTCAATTTATTTCTATAACAGAACCATAAACTCTCTTTTTTTTAATAATTAGTGAAAGTGCGCAAAAATATGACTATATTTCACCTCTCTCAAATGAATAAAATCTTGAATCAGTGAAGCAATAATAAAACCATTTTATTCAAATTAATGATAAAATAGTCACATTGTTTCGTAATGATGTTATTCAACTTAGATTTTATTTGGGATAATTTTATTATTTTTTTCTAAAATAACTTTTTAATATAAATGCTTTTTGAACTAAGTATTTTTCTATTAAAAAACTCTTTTAAAAAGCAGTAATAAATTCATCTCAAATTAAACCTTAATCAATTCATGCCAAATATAAGAAAAAGCGAACAACCAGCAGTGCTTGTAGCATGTCAGTTAAAAAGATGAGAATATTCCATAGCACAAATGATATAGTATGTTAAATTATGAAATTTCAACATGAAATAAAACTAAAATTTTATTTCATTAATTTTCCTGCAGAATGCTCAGGCTAATATACAAGCAGTTTTTGGCCTCTAATTCATAAAAGTGGGTTTCTTTGCACTAAGCTTTTGTTATGATGTGCTCAGAATAAAGCGGCTTATAATCCAACATGTATAAAGCTCAGGCTAATCCTCATTCTCTATCATCTGACGAACTTCATTTACCACCAACCATGCCTTGTGCCCGCCAATAATCTCTGCTTCTTTTTTAGAATCCTTCCATAGCTGCAGCATGCACAGAGATTATGATCCAAGTGATTTAGGCTTCGTTGGGATGACTTTCTTACTACTTTTTAAAATAATTTTCTAGTATAAAAATTAATTTTATTTAACTAAAAAGTTACAGTAAGAAAGCCGTCCCAAATGAAAGCATAATGATATCATGAAAAATCAAGAATTTCCATATTTACCTGTATGGTTGGCATTTTCTGCTCAAGTTTTTGAAGTTTGAGGTGTAAAATGGAGAAAAGAGTCAGTATTGAACAAGAAAAAACAGTTCATAGGAAATATTACAAGAACTGTCAAACATGAATACACGATATGGTTAAACATTAGCCAGAAGGCATGCAACAAGAAAATCTGTGTATATTCCATATAAAAACCAAGTAATTTAAGGTCAAGCCTATGATATCTTTGACCGAGTAATATAAAAAATGGCCGAATTGCAGGCACCAGCGCTTTGATGAGTGCAGTTAGTAAATGATGATTCAAGTATATAAATCACAGATGTTGTAGGCTTACGAAACCTGTAATCTTAAGCGTTCAGATGAACCTTTAACTAAACCAGTAACTTTCTTGCTATGTATATATAGCTGACCACTTCTAATATTGATCTCTGAGGGTAAATAAATTTTTTGAATGATATTGAGATTTCAAGATATGCCACCCAATGAGAACTCTTTTAACTAGATTATACTTCAATGAAGCTCCTGTGGTGCTAGATCTACTATGCAGGTCATTTTTTGCAGCATCACATTTTTTAGTACTTTGTCTCCTACAAATCTTTTCTTGATATGTCATCCATCAAAGTTAAATATTGAAATATTGGAAGCTGTTAATGAAGTTATGTCTCTCAGTTCGAAAGTGCGATTCAGAGTCATATGAGAAGTTATATCTTCAATTGAATGAGTGGTGTTATGCTAATGTGGTAGGCTGATGCTAACATGGATGGTTTTAGAAGAGAATTAGGATTTTATGTGCTTATTATTTCAATTTAATTCAAGTTTATTAATAACAGAACAAGCTCTTAAGAACTCAAGCAACACCGAATACCCTTTTAATGGGGAACATTGAAGGATGATGGAAACATATAAATCACCAGTCTTTCACAACAAAAGGATTAAAAAAACTAATTAATACAATTTTAAAAGTATTTAAGGCTACTTAAAGAGTTATAAATGATATTTATGCCAATGAAATAATGTTTAGTTATTAATCATGATGTTGCTATGATTTAAATTAGTATCGAATAGCCTTTTAGTAAGAGATATCAAAGGGCTAAAGAGAAGCCTGCCATTATACTATTAATCACTTTTGATGCTAAAGGTCTCAGAGGAAGCTCACACATTACTTTTGATGTAAGAGGAAAAAATTGATCAATAATCATGCTTGAAAAAGAATCAAAGACTGATTAGTCAGCTCTCAATAATGTTTACACAAAATAATACTTATTTATGTATTAAACATGTCACTATTATAATTTAAAACATAATTTGATACACTTTCAGTGATTGACAATGAGGGGGCCATCATTATTTCATTGGTCACTTTCGGTATTGGAGGAAGATTGGAGGGAGTTCACCCGACATCATCTCAAATCACTCATCACTTTTGGTGCAAAAGGATAAAATTGATCAATAACTACATTAGAAAAAGAATTCAAGGTTGATTAATGACCGTTGAACCATGTTTACTCTAACACATATTAAAAATGACATTATTGTGATTTAAATCATTATTGGATGCCCTTTAAGTAGGAGACTACATGGAGCCCACATCATATCACCAGTCATTTTCAATACAAGAGATATTTAGGGGAAGGGGCACCCGACATTGTCTCAAATCACTCATCATTTTCAATGCTAGAGAACAAAACCGGTCAATAATTATAGCCGAGAAGGAATCTAAAGTTGATTAGTGAGCTCCAAACAATATTTATGTTAAGTAACACTTGTTTACATATTAAAAATAATGTTGTTATAATTAAAAAATGTCAATAGATGTCCTTTCAATGAGAGATAACGAGGAGTTTATTATTGTATCATTAATTACATTGGTGCTAGAGGACATGTGAGCTAGTAATTAGCACAAATCTTTTGTTTTTTTTTTTTCAATTTAAAATGCCTAGGATCGCTTGAGAAACTATTGTTGAACATCATTGAAAATTGTCATTGATCCTGCACTATTTATCATCCACAAAAAATGATAAATAGCATGAGATTGATGCTACTTCATAATTGTCAACTCATCACTTTTAATGTGCTTGCATTAAAGTACATCAAAGATAATAATAAAAGTAATTCAAGTTTCAATTTTGATCAAATACGCTTAATTGAAGCAGCACATCATGAATCAAATAAATATTTACAAGGGTATAAATGACATATGTTTGATTTGTTTGTTCCTATTCAACAATTGATTTATAATAACACATGTCGATACAAGTAAATCTTAACCATAGTAGAAATGACGTATGTTCAATGCTTTCATTTCTACACATGTTATTGTCGTAGACATGTGTGGCAATCCATTACTTAATAATTGATAAATCAAACATATGTCATTTTTATCCTTTTCAATATTTATTTAATTTATAATGTTTTACTTTAATTCAATGTATTGAATCATAATTGGAACATTACTTTATTGTTATCTTCGATGTACGTCTATGCAAACTGATCACTGATCAGATGTGTGAGTTTACCACCAAGGCGTAGCATCAACCTCACCTTCTTCACCATTTTTAGTGAATAGGTGAGATTAAGGATAGTTTTCAAGAATATTCAACAATGATTTCTTAAGTAGACCTATGTCCCTTAAATAGCAAACAAAAGATCTGAGTAAATTATTATTTCACTTGCCCTCTAGCACTAAAAATGATTAGTGGAATTGATAAAGATATCAGCAGGAGATTTCGACGCATCTATAATCAAAGGAATCATAGATCGACAGTTACGATTCAAAGTCTTTATTTATGATGAATTTATGTATTTCATTTTATTTATGTTCTAGTTTACTATTGTACCCCGAGAGGGTTTAGTTCATGATGTAGCCTCAAAGGGCATTTTAGTCTTTTGCTTCTCTCTTATTTTAAGGCCTATATATAGAAGCTTTCACTATTGTATGAGGTGAATGACTGATTAATAAAAATTTCAGCTTCTTGTTCTTTGTTTTCTTGTAAGCTCTTGAGAGAAGAGAGAATCCTAGGAGAGGGCCAAACAACACCCGTCAGCCGCCGGTAGAGGTCGGGCTCGCAGATGGTATCTGTTTTTATTTCCCCTTCCTCTATCCCCACCACCGACCCCCCCTCCCCTTTTCCTCCCAACCTGCCAACCACTTCCCCATCTTCCCTACAACCGCCGGCCACCTTGCCCTGAACCCCTACCACCACCCACCCACCTCTCTCACTACTCTCGGACACACCTATCCCCAACCCCATATCCATTGGCCTCCTCCCTCTCCATCTCAACCCGCCACCCCTCTCCCATCCCCACCTAACCCAGGTTCAGTCTTCATTAGCTGTCGGCCTCTCCCTAGTCCAAGCTCAAAACGTCAGCCTCTCCTCCTCCCCAAACCCTAATTTTCAAATTCAAATTCCCTCTAAAACCCTTTCCTAATTTGCCTAATTACTATTTAGGAAAGCCTTTTTAATTTTGAATTCAAATGAAATTTAAAATTCAAAATATTTCCTAATTAGTAAGCCTAATTTAGGAATCCTCCCCCGTCATCTCAAATCAGAAATTAATTGGAATTAATTCCAATTTCAAGATACATTGCACCTAGACACATTCATTGAATGTGGAAATATCATTTAAAAGCTCACTAATCAACCTTAGGATCCTTTTTTGCTATAATTATTGACCAATTAAGTCCTCTAGTACTGAAAGTGACTAATGATTTGAGATGATGTTAGTTGCCCCCCATCATCATGATGGTATGATAGTATGCCCCTCATTGTCTCCCATAGAAAGGGTATACAATAACAATTTAAATCATAAAAATGTATGCTGCTCCATCTTCTCCCCAATTAAAGGAGATTCAAATTCAAACTATTTCCCCTCCTTCCCTATTCTAAAATCTGAAATTATATTTCATATTTTTGGATTTATTCCCTCTCCCAACCCTAAATATGAAATTAACAGGACTGCTCCTAGCCTTGGCCGAAATTTCCTAGCCCCTTTTCCCTCCCTTACCTCTCTTCTCCCTTGCTTCACATACATCCCAAAGAAGAGGATACACTACCACTTAGCCTACTTCTCCCATGAATGGCCAATCCTGAGCACGATCATGGATTCATATATGATCTTCAAGGACAAGTAGATATCCTCCGGTCTCCCTTCTTCAACCTCAACTTGGAGATCGACCACACCGTCGACGACTACGTTGACCGGATCCTCTTCACCTTGACGTTTTCCATCGAGGAGCACCAAATCTCCGGACAGTGACGAGCCACTGGACATCCACCGACTTCTTCCCCTCCGACTAACTTTTCATTGGACAATATTGTAGGCGTTCTCTTTCTTTTGGTGATATCTTTGGGTTTGCTGAAATTATTTTCACGTTGACCCCACCATCAAGAGTGAAATTGAGGGGAACTCGAGGTAAATTTTCTATTTGTTAAACGGTGGATTTTTGTTATTTATGCATCTAGCGTTACAACAAGTTTGTTCTTATTTTAAATTGTCCTGTTTATACTTCTTGTAATTGCATGCCAAAGCACATCTGCAATTAAGAAATCCTATACTCTTATCTTGATAAAACATTGAGTTTAAAATTAGCAAAGCTTAACAACTTATTATTAACTCCCAAGAAATTCTTGTTTCCATATATGTTTCACATTAGGTATGATAGTGAGTCCATTTTCTCCAATTAAAAAGATATATGATGATGATTTAAATCAGAACAACATTATTTTTAATGTGTAAATATCATTTAAAAGCTCACTAATCAACCTTAGGATCCTTTTTTGCTATAATTATTGACCAATTAAGTCTTCTAGTACTGAAAGTGATAATGATTTGAGATGATGTTAGTTGCCCCCCATCATCATGATGGTATGATAGTATGCCCCTCATTGTCTCCCATAGAAAGGGTATACAATAATAATTTAAATCATAAAAATACTATGTTTAATATGTAAACAATGATCGATGGTATAATAGTGGCCCCATCATCTTTTTGCACCGAGAATGATTGATGGTATGATAAGGGGCCTCTCGTTGGCTCCCACTGAAAGGGTATTCGATAATATTTTAAATCATAACAGCACCATGTTTCATAATAAAAGGGTATCCAAAAATGATTTTTCAAAGCTCACCAATCAAATTAGGTTCCTTTTTTACAGTAATTATTGACCAATTTAGTTCTCTTATATCAAAAGTGACTAGTGATTTGAGATGATGTTTGTTGCCCCTCATCATATTTTTTGCACCCAAAATGATTCATGGTATGATAGTGGGCCTCTTGTTGTCTCTCACTGAAAGATTATCAGATAACAATTTAAATCATAAACATTATAATAGTGTCATGCTTAATACTTATAAATATTATTTAGTATAAACATTATTTAGAGCTTGCAAGTCAATCTTGGATTCCTTCTTGACGTAATTATTAATTGATTCTATCCTCTTGCACCAAAAGTGACGAGTAGACCCCCATTCAATCGCTTCAAGCACTAAAAGTGACTGTTAATATAATGGTGAGCCCCTCTATGTCAATGTCTCCTATTGAAAGAGTATCTGATGTTGGTTTAAATTATAGCAATGTCATTTTAATAACAAATTACTATTTTGTTAATGTAAACATCATTTAGAACTCTTTAAGTAGCCTTGGATTTTGTTAGATCAGTCTAGGGACCGACTGAACCGGTCCATCCTGGACGGGTTCACATGTATGCCAGGCGGACAAATGTTCCACCCAACAAGAGGGGCGGATAGCATGGTGGGGCCTAGCGGCAGTAATTAAGCACCAATTGTGGATGATTTTGGCAAAAAAAATCAATTAAGGGCTGTTTAGGGATTAGTTAAATGTATTTTTGCTTTAAGTAGATTTCGTTCCCTATGGTTTGTTTTATCTTGAATTTGGTATGATATTTGAGATCTATTGGAGATTGTTTGGGCTCTAGCTGTCAGCTAGGGATTGGAAGAGACGGATCTCTCTCGAATTGAAGATCCATTGTACCTTGCTTGTTTTCTTTCATCTACTACTAAATCGGGAGTGTCTCCTGGCTATTTCTCTACAAAATTCTCAAAATCGACTCAACGAAGTGCTGAATTTCTAATTTCAACTCAGTTTTTTTTTCAAGGTTATTATTATTATTTTCTATTAAATTGGTATGAGAACCCTTCAATATAGGGTACCAATGCCCAAAAGAAGAGTAGAAATGTTGGAGGGAGAATTAGGCAAAAAAAAAATCAGATTTTGAATCAAAATTTTCATATTTTCAAAACCAATTTGCATCTTCTATGAAAAGATGGATGGAAAGTTCGCTGTCGTGAAAGATATGTAGACGTTGCTTGAAGCCAAACCCAATACAAAGACATCTAAAACAAAGGAATCCATTGTCGGCCAAGGAAAAGGAGGTGATGCCTCCGCTAGAGCTTATTTCTAGGGAAGATATGAGTATCGGGTACAAGCGAAGGGTTGCTGATTTTGCAAGAAGAGGGGTGGATTATGAGCGTCGGGGTGCTGATTTTGAAAGGAGGGGGAATTTTGAAGAAGGATTTGGGTTTGAGTGTATAAGGGAAGATCGAGACACCTGGGAAGCACCTCCCTTCGTGGAATGGGAGGCAATAGAGGATTTCGGGGAAACAAAGGTGATACAAGAGTGTGGAAGCTGAAGATGCCCATCTTTGAGGGAGATGATGCACATTGGTGGATCTACAAGGTGGATAAATATTTCTCCATCAACGGTTTGACGGAGGATGAGAGACTGACAGTAGTGGGCCTATGTTTGGAGGGGAAGGCCTTGGCTTGGTACCAATGGAGGGACATACAACAACCAATATAGAGCAAGAGGGAGTTCAAGGATTATTTGTTGGAACGTTTTCAAACCAACAGGGAAGGAGAAACCAGTTTTTCGCCCTAACACGGGAGGGTTCAGTGGTAGAGTATCTGAAGAGATTCGAATAACTCACTAGCCATTTGGACCGTCTTTCGGAGACAGTGTAAGAGGGGAACTTTATGAAGAGACTCAAACCAGAGATTTGGGGCAATGGTTAAAGTGATGAGGCCTCGGGACTTGGGAGAGGCTATGGAGCTAGTACAATTAGTGGAGGACCAAAAGCACCTGGAAAGGGGCCGGGGGGGAGGGGGGCAAAGGCAGCAGTTCAAGAGGCTCGTAAAGGATGATCACCACATTCCTAGCTCATAAGGACCTACATTGAAATTTCAAGAAACTTACTGAGAATGAGCTGCATGAGAAGCGGGCGAAGGGATTGTGCTTCAAATGTGATAAGAGGTACAATCTGGGGCACATGTGTGATAATGAGGAAGAGTTACAGTGGTGAAATGAGGAAGCTGAGGGAGGTGAGGGTGAGGCAGTGGTGAAAGAGGAAGAGTTACATCTTTACATGGCTAAAATATCCTTAAACTCAGTGGTGAGATTCACCCTAAATCACACCATGAAAGTGCAAGGAAAAATAACAAACAGAGTGGTGGTGTCGTGGGGGTGCTGATCGACAGCGAGGCTACTTACAATTTTATCTCCAATCAAGCAGTTAACCAGTTAGGGGTGAAATTGGTGGACACAGGGGGCAATGGGGTGATGATTGGCACTGAGAAGGTGGAGATGGGTTTATACCAAAAATTCAATAATTCAAATATCATATTGCTTTTCAAGATTATGATGACGTCTAAACAACCAAGAAATTTTCATTCATAATCTACTGTTCGTATAAACACAAAAGTTTAATTAGTCCCTTCCTAATAATATTTCAATTTCAATAAAATTGAATCAAGTGAATCCATCTAATCCTAGTTTTCATGCATGCAAAGTGTGATATTCTAACGTCCCAAACAGGTAAAGCATGATAATGCAAGCATCACAATAAAATACAAATAATTCAGCACAAGCCCTCAAGATTCATCCTAGGAAACTGTGAATGATGTTGCTATCATTGCTATAATACACATAAAGCTGCCTATTTAAAACATGGAATTCAGGGTAGATCAGAGGATTCAAACTCACTATGATTCCAGCACGATTGACAAGCCTCTGTGGTACACTGTTCACATCAGCACAGTAGAAACGGATTCTGCATCACAATATAGTTTTATAGAGCATAAAATTTATGATATTGGAGTGGAAGACTAAAGTGGAAATATTATTAATCAAGCATTACAAATACAAAACAAACGCAATTTCTGATAGAGAAATATTATTTCTTCTACTCAAGTTAACATAGTTTAACACAATCTCTAAGCAGCATATCATAAAAGATGATATGCTGGACCACAACCTCCTTGTAAAATGAAAACAACTTCCATATCTATTGCTCTTCTAATAAATTATATGATATTTTAAAGGCTTCCTCTTTTTCAGGAGTATGATGATCTAGGGCAAGCACATCTAACCAAGTCAAGCAAAAGAGCTAGAAGTCTTACATACTAAAATGAAAATCTACAAAACAAGAAGTAGATGCCAAGAAAAACAAGTAGTTTTCTGACCTTGGATGGTAATCAACAGCGAGTTTCTCCAACTTTGGTTTCAAATATATGCATTTTCTGCACCAATTCGCCATCCTACATTATAACTTTAGCTTAAACACGAAAATGTATACATCACCATAGTTCAATCAGGCATTATTAAACCTCAAAATATCCAAATGACATGCAAAATGGATTTGTATGGGAGATTTCTATAAAACAACTCATAATTTGAATTTTTTATGAAAGCGAAAAAAAATCCAATTTGGTAATAAGAAGAACTAATGCTAACATATTAGTTAGAAATTCTTAAAAGATTAACATGCATGTCAAAATTTTTAAAATTCTGATATTAGTACTTACTTTTTTCATAAAATCCTGACCAGAATAATACCTGACTTGTGTGCCACTATTAAATAACAAATTATAGTATCAATACTAATTTTCAATAATAAACTCCAGTATAATAGTAGAATTTCAATAAATGTAAGCATATACATCAAAATTTCTATAAAAAAAATTAATTTCATTGCTAGCGTTAATTGCTCTCAATCCTAAAAAATTTTGAAGCTACTATCCTTCTTCACAAAAAACGCTACATTAGAAGGGTCGTTAGGTTTCTTGAAATTACAAAATAATTCTATCGTCTTGTTGAGGCAATTAGAAATCAATATTATTTTTGAACTCCGAAAAAACATCTTCGGAAACCAAAATCATTTTTCTTAGGATAGCTGCCACGTCAGCCATCATTTGGCTTCTTTGTAATTACGGACGTATTCTTTTCCTTTATCTCTATATATAGCCATCTGTACTCAAGCTTTATCAATACAATTCTCATATCTTTCCTTTCCTGTGAAATCTCTATTTCCTTTCTCTACTTTATCTCTCGGTTTCTTGCATGGTATCAGAGCACCAGGCTCTTCCATGGCAGATCAAGAATCCCTTCCCTCTTCGATCTCCTCCTCCACCACCACAACCAACCTCCAGGACTTCACCGTCCCAGCCTCTCTAAAATTCCTCATATCCAATCTCAAAACTCTGGTGCCGCTGCCCCTCACCTCCGATAACTACCACATATGGCGACTATAGCTTCTAAACTTTCACGGCAAACGGATTCGCCGGATTTCTCACAGGCGAATCTCCCTGCCCGTCCGACCACAGCAACGCCGACTACAACAAATGGAAATTGATCGACAGGAATCTAATTTCTGCTCTGTTCTCGACAATTTATGTTGTCGTTCTTCCATATGTTCTATCCTCATCCACCGCCCATGAGGTGTGGCAGATTCTTGAAAGACGAATGCAACCCACGAACCGCTCTAGATTCATTCAACTCAAGAAAGAGTTACACCACATTCAAATGCGAAACTCGTATATGCAGCAGTACCTTATGCAGATCAAGAATCTTGTGGACAATATTGTCGTCTCCGATTCACAACTCGACACTGAGGACATTATCCTCTACATTCTAAACGGATTACCTTCTACATACAACTCCTTCAAAACGGCGATACGAACCTCTCTACAACCCATCGATCTTGATACTCTTAACTCCCTCTTATGTAGCGAAGAGATTAATATCCAACAAGAAAATCAAAAAGACATCTCAGCGACATCCGACACAACCGCGCTCTACACACAAAACTCTGGTACTTACCGAGGCAAAAGCCAATACCGATCGGCCAAGAACCGCTCATCCGCACCGCGTACTTTCAATTCTGGATCAACCGAACCTCCACCAGCTACAAAGCAACCCGATCGCCCAACCTGTCAGATTTGCGGGTAACGCGGACATAGCGCTCTCAACTGTTGGCACCGGTGCAACCTCAAATACGCCCCAACGCAATCTCCGTCAACTCAACAAGCTTTTCTGACGCAGCAATCAACTAATCCAACAAGCGAGTGGGTTCTTGATTCAGGCGCTTCCGCCCACCTCACACCAGACCTCACAAATCTACAACAGCGATCAAATTACCAAGGACAAGATTCGGTATCCATTGCAAATGGATCCTCTCTATCCATCCAAAGTTCGGGACAGGGTCTCCTTCCACTGCCGGACTCGACCCGTAAGCTATATCTCCAAAATCTCCTTCACGTCCCTACTCTCACGCATAATCTTATCTCTATTTCAAAATTAACTAACGACAACCAAGTTTCTATCTGTTTTGATGCTAACGGCTTCGTCATTAAGGACCTTCAGGACAATCGCCCTCTTCTTCGTGGTTGGCTGCATAACGGACTGTACACCATGCAGACCTCTTCCTTCGAGCGACCGGAAGCCTATCTCACCAATAAGTCTTTAGCAAATCTATGGCACAACAGGCTTGGGCACCCTCATCACGGGGTCCTCACCAACCTTCGTCGGCTACTACCCAACATCGCAGACACTTCAGGACATCTTCTTTGCACTTCTTGTAACCTGACCAAAAGCCATAAGCTCAAATTCAATAAAAGCTTCTACTACTTCTACTTGCACATTTTCTTTAATTCATTCGGACGTCTGGGGTCCCGCCCCAGAACAATCTTTAAATGGTTTCAATTACTTTGTAATTTTCATAGATGATTTTTCTAAGTTTACCTGGTTATATTTGATATGTTCCAAGAACGAAACATTTTCGAAATTTACTCATTTCTGCTCGCTCATTAAAAATCAATTTAACGCTACACCGAAAGTATTTAGGTCTGACGGCGGAGGTGAGTTCAATAGCACTCAATTCAAAACCTTCCTCTCTAACCACGGCATCACTCACCAACTAAGCTGTCCACACACACCTGAATAAAACGGGACTGCCGAACATAGGAACAGGCATCTTTTGGAGACCACCCGAGCTCTCCTACACGCCTCCAAGCTACCATCCAAATTCTGGGCAGAAGCAGTATCCACGGCGAACTACCTCATCAACAGGCTTCCATCCAAAGCCATTGCACAACGGATCCCATATCAACTGCTTCACAACAAAATCTCGTCCTATGATCATCTACGAACGTTCAGATGCCTTTGTTTCCCATGGCTACGACCATACTTTCAAGACAAACTCTCACCAAGGTCGCAATCGTGCATCTTCCTCGGTTACTCATCTCAGCACAAAGGCTACAGATGTTTGGATCCGCTTACAAACAAAATTGGCGTCTAACGTCATGTCAGCTTTCAAGAACAATTCTTTTCCTACACTGACTTAACGAGCTCCAACAACACACCGCAGTCTTCCGCCACTGAATCTACCTCACTCAACCCGCTGCTTCTAATTCCTACATCACTGCAGCCCAGACCCGCTAACTCTTCAACACCGAGTGACACTATCCTCCCTCCTAGACCCACTTCTCCGGCACGGACGACTGCACCTTCTGGTTGCCCAACTACTGCACCACAAGTGGAACGTCGCATCACAACAACTCATCCCATCACTCAGCATCCAATGCAAACCAGGGCAAAATCAGGTATTCACAAATATAAACAAATCATTGATCTCTCCACAACAATCTCTCCCTCGATCACACCGACAACGTACAAGCAAGCCGCGCAATCTCCACAATGGTGCTCTGCTATGACCGAAGAAATCCTCGCTCTCAAACAACAGGGCACATGGTCACTTGTTCCTCCCCCCACTAACAATCCAATTCTAGGCTGCAAATGGATGTTCAAAATCAAGACTCTTCCAAATGGATCTGTTGATCGTTACAAAGCACTATTAGTGGCTCAAGGATTCAATCAGACACAAGGAATCAACTACAATGAAACCTTCAGCCCGGTCGCAAAAATGACAACCATCGGAATGCTTCTCACCCTTGCTCTTCACCGCAACTGGTCCATTCTCCAACTAGACGTATCCAATGTATTTTTACATGGAGATCTCATAGAAAACATCTACATGCGTCAACCACTAGGTTTCATCGACTCCCAAAAACCAAATCACGTGTGCAAACTTCACAAGTCCCTCTACGGACTCAAACAAGCGCCACGCCAATGGTTTCAAAAACTCACGGAATTTATGCTACAATTCGGCTTCAGGTTCAGTCGTTCCGACCTTCACTTCTCATTTTTAATAACAATCAAATACAATTATATTTCCTCATTTACGTGGATGATATCTTGCTTACAGGAAACAATTCACAATTGATACAAAAACTCCTTCACCAGCTTCACTCGCATTTTGCTCGTAAACAACTTGGTCCAGTATCTCTATTCCTAGGCATTCAGACAATCAAAACCACCGCCGGATACTTCTTACATCAAACACACTATGCTCAACAACTACTCCAGACCGTTGGTCTCGCCGAGTGCAGCTCTGCACCAACTCCAATTACCCCACCCAAGGCCAATCATCTCGCTTCAACTACACCATTCTCGGATCCTCATCTATACCGGAAATTGGCAGGTTCCCTTCAGTATTTGTCAATCACTCGCCCGGACATAGCGTTCGCAGCAAATCGCATATGCCAACACATGCATGCTCCCACCGAACACCATTTTCAAATGCTAAAAAGAGTCCTTCGATATATCAAAGGATCGATCAACTACGGTCTACCCATTACTCTAGGAAACCTTCAAGTCCGCAGCTACACGGATGCGGATTGGGCGTCTGATAGCACCGATCGCAAATCAGTATCAGGATGGTGCACCTTTCTCGGAGACAACCTCATTTCTTGGTCCGTCAAGAAGCAGGCCACGGTGGCCAAATCTTCAACAGAGGCGGAATACCGATCGCTCGCCGCCGCAACCTCCGACGTGCTATGGCTTAGGCGGCTGGCGGATGAACTCCAAATCACACAGCATTCTCCGACCACCATACACTGTGACAACACATCCGCCATTGCGCTCGCCAACAACCCAGTTTTTCACGCTCGGACCAAACACATCGAGATTGACTATCATTTTATCCGTCAACACATTAACTCCGGAGCCATCACCATTCAACATATCAGCTCCGAGGATCAAATCGCCGACATCCTAACCAAGGCACTTCATATGGAGCAAATTAACCATTCACACTCACGAATGATTAATTTGAGGGGGCCTCTTAGGATAGCTGCCACGTCAGCCATCATTTGGCTTCTTTGTAAATACGGATGTATTCTTTTCCTTTATCTCTATATATAGCCATATGTACTCAAGCTTTATCAATACAATTCTCATATCTTTCCTTTCCTGTGAAATCTCTATTTCCTTTCTCTACTTTATCTCTCGGTTTCTTGCAATATATGCACAAGCAACCAAATCAGCCAGCTCTAAGCAGTTTATACAAATGCCATTTTCATTCTGAATAAATTGAATAAATAAAAACAAAGAGGGGGGTTATGAAGAAAACCAAAGGATGATCAATGATTCCTCGAGCTGCTGGGCCTCCGCCAGGATCCGATCGAACTGATCCTCGCTGGTGATGGGCAGGAGCTCCATCGAAGAAGGGTCGTCGTCATCAACCTCATCCCCAGTAAGCTGCACCTCCTCCAAGCCATTCCAAACGACTGACACTGTGTCCGTCCTTCGATACCTAGATCGAGGAAGAGTAGAGATCTGAAGGGTAAAGATCGAAGAGGAAGCCGGAGAGGACTGCGTCACTTCGAGGCGACGAGGGAAGGGAACAAGAATGATGCCACCTCGGTCGGAAACCCGCGGCGAGGGAAGTGTAGAGATGGAAGCAGGGGGCAGAACTCTTGCCATCTCGATTCAGAGAAATTGCAAGCCGCGGCCTCGGCTCTGTGAACATTGCCGCGTCTGTCGGTTCTTAACTTAAAACTTAGCCCACTAAGGCCCATTGAGGCGCATAACAGACCAGTCTGTAGACCCATTGTTACTTCCACATTAGACCATCTCCAACCGTTCGGCAAATAGTCGAATGGAGGCCCTCAAATGTGGCAACCGAACGACATTTCTTCCGCCATTTGATCGCAGTTGAACAGTGCAACGCCAATATTGGAGTCTCACTGTTCACTTGTGCAATTTCTTTCTCTCTACCGAACTCATCTGAGAAAGGCGCGAAAGAAAAGAGCGATGATTTGGGGGCAAAATAGCGTTCCACTGGAGATGAATCACAACACTTTTTGATTTTACTGCATTTTGCAGTGAAAAATGAGAGTTGCGGTTGGAGATGCCCTATTTGGTCCGGTGAACGTACGTAGAGCTACGTTCGGCCAGCACTAAGATCGCAGGCACAAAACTAAAAATACCGAGCAATACCAACAATAACGAGAAATACCATTATGTGAAAACTAAATACCGAGTAATCCCAAAAAATCCCAAGTTTTTTCTAGAAAAATTCGGTATTTTTTGGGATTACTCGGTATTGCTCGGTATTGATTTTCACAGAGCGATATTTCTCGTTATTACCAAACAATACCTAGCAATACCGATCAAATACCTAGCAAAAACCGAGTAACAATCCTCTGACCGAACGTAGAGCTACGTCCGGTCAGAGGATGTAATAAAAGTTCCTTAATGTGAGTAATGTGGAAGTTCTATTTTTATTACAAGGAATGTCATTCAGAAGACAACCATGAACAGTACGCTTTCATTAATTTCCTCTTGAAACCTAATATAAACTCCCTAAATATGATAATTTACACAAAAGCATCTAAAAAAATTTATATTCATCTTAAAATAAATTTAATTATTTTAAAATTTTATTCAGATCAAAATTTAATCGATTATTCTCACTTAAGTCTCTTCTAAATCTACTAAAAAATATTCAATATATATATATATATATATATATATAAAATACTTATATTATATTTATCACACAGTAATAAATTAATTTTAGAACCATTACAATAAGTGACAGACGAAATATTCTAATCCGATCACATCCATTAAATTGTATGACCAATTTTGCTTTTCGATTTGCATTCATGTATTTTAACATTCTAAAATATGCTATAGTTTTTCTTATGCTCTAAAGTGTACAAGGAATGATGAAGTCAATTTTGATATATAATTAAAAACTTATTTGATTAAGAATAGATCTAACACACCTATTAGAATTAAAAAAAATTTATAAACAATTTTTTGAACCACATGAACACTATATTTTTTAATAAATGTACAGAAGAAATATATATCTCAAAAAGATGAATCTACTACTCTACTTACCAACACTCGACACTTGCTCTTGAAAATAAGATCAACACCACTTATTTTCAAAAAATAAGGATGATGTTTGTCATCGTAAAGTAAGCTAATGTTTGTCATTGCCAAAATCATTGATGCCCATTGTGTTCAACAATATTGACCACCATCATCACCAAAAATGTCATGATCGATTACACTAATGACTCAAACGTATATAATTAGCATCAATGCCGACTACTAGCATCTTTAATAAGGCTAATGCTTGCCTCTTTTGTCATTGGACTCTTCATATATAAGGAGAACAACTTAGCATGCCATTAATAAGTGTTTGATGATATTTTTAACATATGGGCTCATCTTACTTGTATCATGGAAGTCTTCTTTCACTATCCATAACTACTATGTTGTATTAACGTATTTTTTAATTATAAGAAAGAACGACATGTGTAACATAGTACTCAAATTAATTAAATCATTTGAACTAGATTAGGCCCATAAATTTTCCTCGTCTCCAAATTTTGCATGCATGTAGAATTTTCATATTAAACTAAGATAATGAATACTCTCTCTAATGCTATGAATGTTCTATGACATAATAATTTGATGTTGTCTATGTGAAACGATCTCAGGCTAGGGGCAACCTCTACTACTGTAGCAAAATGATGTTCACATTAACACCCCAAGCACTACTACAGCTAAGCAGATTCCCTTCCATTTGTTGATGCACAAAACAAGTAAAGATTAGACAACTATAACTATAGCCTCAAACATGTTCATGTTACCATCTCAAACATAGAGGTAGCTAAGTAACTCCAATCACATACCTTATTTCAGTGTATTCAAAGAAATTCTAAGTTAGATCTCTACTCTCAATTTCTTGAAGGTTTTCATACATATATGTGAGATTTTACAAAATATCTTCAAGTGAATGTCAACTCTACATGCATTCCCAAGCTAGTCCTCTAATCTATAAGCATAGTCACAACCAAAGCTTCAAAATACTAGTAATAGTTTGAAAGCAATAAGTTTTTACTTCGCATTTGAGAAACATAAGGCAATTCTCACATCTCAATTAATGTGTAATCGGTCTCAATTTTGACTAAATTTTATCTTTTCTAGCACAAGTTGACGCATCGAGCATTACTTAAAACAAACAAGCTAAGATAATTACAATTTTTTGATAGATTTCTCTTGACTTCTACTATCATATTTAAGTTAAAGAGTAATTCTAATGTTGATAACCAAATATATACCTACTTCCTTGAAGAATTTCTTACAACTCTCCTTATCATGAATTATATTTAATAATTCAAGGAACATGATAAACTATAAATAATAATGATAATAATAATAATAATAATCTATAAGGCACATTAATGAGGAAGTCCTCCATTTAAAAAATGCCTTACAAGAGTAAGTAAATACATAGTCTCTATGCTAATTTAAGAAATAAAAAATATATAAAACTTAGAAGCTCCTTAGTGTTGGAGAGTCCTCGCTAAAAAAACCCATGAGGATAAAGGATAGACAGGACATTTTCTCATCTAAAAAATTAATAGAAGGCATAAACTATTGGGAAATTTCTGTATATGGGCTCATGTATACATATGAGTAAAATATTATACATTAGATGCTATTTAAAATTGAGCCATTTAAATTCGTGATCTATTTAAGAATTAAATTATTTTTTAGCTTATGTGCATCTCAATTAAATTTGTATGAAAATAATTATTTTTGTAGAGGTCGAGTATTTATTTTATTTTAATGATTGGCTGAAATAAAAATAAATACACTTGAAGTATAAAATGATCATGGTCCCCAGTTTAAGCTGTGAAGTTCTCATTTCCCATCTTGACTGAAAAGAATGGGTCTCTCACTTTCTTGGAGAACATCGCTTCAAATGTGGAAGATCAAAGACCTTTTTTTTTTTCTATTAATTCATTCATTTCAGCTTCATCACTTAACATATATATAATTTTAAACCTTTGTCAAGCACATAACCTAACAGGCTAATTGACTAATAACCACATATATATATAATAAAAGGCCACGATTACAGACACAATAAAAGCAAACAACACAAACAGAGTAAGAAAAGGCAAAGGCAGCCAATACAGGGCTCAGTAAATGAAATGTCGAGGCTTCCAGCACCCCAGAAATCTGGCACCGACCATCTAAAAGGAAACAGCGACTAAACCAATGGTTGCCACCAGCAGACCAAAGGGATGCGAGCCCCAGCTACATCATAGCCCAAACATCCAACAAATGCCAAATCTCAACAAAAATCCAAAAGCACCAGCACGGAGAGAAAAAAAAATTATCTTCTACGTCGTCCCCTACCACGAAATCTTCCACGAGAGGCCACAGAAACTGGCCTAACACTAACCAAAGAAAAATCATTTCCAGGATCTGACCCACCATAGATGTTCGGGGAAACAACACCCGCATCCGAAAATTCCGATTCATATTTAGATGAAACTTCAAGCCAATTCATCTGGTTCCTCAAGTCGATACCGGAAAACTCTCCCAAACGATTATCCATAGTTTGCGAACCAACCAAATTAACAGGTACATTAATAAAATTGTTGGAGCAAACCGAATTAACTTTCACACTATCCACACAATCAGCGGAAATATTCACATTTTCTCTCGGATTGCAGGTTCCCCCAACTCCCAGCAACGGAGAATTCGAAGCAACAGACACAGCATTAAGACCAGCATGGACCTGAATCGGAGCCACCAAATTCTCACCCAGATTCACAGAAGGAAGCACAGCAAACCCCTCCGTAATACAATTACCAACCAACGAATTAACCGGTAAAACCTCAAGAGGAGTAAAAGGAGTAGCATTGGGAGATAAAACCTTAGCAATAACCTCAGAATCAACACCAGCCTCCAGCACTCCCTTTTCCTCCCTAGAACAGTCATGGTTCACCGCAGGCACCTCCGATTGAAGCACCCCGCACTGATTAGACACAGGTTTATTAACCTTAAGATTTGGGTGTAAAATAGTACATGACTCCTTAGAATGACCTAACGAATTGCAATGCAAGCAGAAACTAGGAAAAACATCAAAAAGAACATTTTGAACATAACCCGAATCAACAGAGCCAACCCAAACCTTATCAACATGCTTTTTGGTAACATCCATTTCAACCAAGATTCGAGCCACAGGCAGCCAAGAACCAGACGCCGTGGCCAAATCCGATTTCAGAGGGCGACCAAAGAGCGAACCTAAACCGAAAAGAATCATAGGAGAAAATAAATGAGGTCTCAGAAGGGGGAAAGAAACCCAGATGGGCACAATAGGAGAATCCATCTCAACATCCAAAATGGGAGACCATTTAACCACTTTCATGAAGCAATTTTGAACAAAATAAGATCTATGTGAAAAAATTATGCAATAATCAAAATCATTCACCAGTTTAATCAAAACATTACGGTAGTTTAGAACGGTGTCCGAAAACTCCCCAATCAGCTTTAAATCAAAGCAAAACTTCCTAATGGCATCAACCGATGGTCTCTTACCCAGAAAACGACCAACCAATGAAAATTCAAAAGGCTTAGCAAGAGACCGAACCTCTTCCTCAGAAATCAACAAAGCCGGCAAACCACGATGAGAAGAAAAGCTTAAATCAGGAAAAGATGAAGA